CAGTGGAGTGTCCTTGTTACAGCGCATTAAAAATGTGCACAGCGAGCATAAAGGCGCAAATAATCGCATGTTGCTAATTCGCGTAGAAACGCACAAAAACAGTGCTGCCTAGGTGTGAATTTGGCCATAGACCTATAGATAGACAATGACTGGAGTGGACACTAGGTGAACATTATAATAAGATTTTGTCTTATTTGTCGGGATCCGCTTCAGCTGCGGCGTCTCAGTATACCGCGAGTTGTAGATCGCGGTATACTGAGATTAGGGTGACGGGAGGACGCTAGTTTATGTCCTCCCGTTACCCTAAGGAGAGCTATGGGGAAAAGCCCTAACCCCATAGTTCTCCTTTAAGTATAATTTGACAATTTGGGTGAAGGTTCAGAGACTGATTTAAGACCAAAAGGCAAAGCTGTATATTTGAACTGCCTTTACACCATATAAATAGATGGCTTCATATAATTACTCTGAGGAACTACAAAAAAAGTGACAGTTATTTATAGTTATTTATAGTTTGGTTCTCTTTTTTAGCAAACAGATCAGGCTTTGAAAATTGTACAGTTAAAGTGTATCTAAGTCCATGAACTTAGAAGTGACATTAAAGCCAAAAAATGTTTCCCCTCCCCCCCATGTAAATGTTAGCATTTACCTTAAATGATGTCTCTTATTCTGATCTTCCTCTTCTTTCCCCATGTTTTCATGTGTCCCTCCAGCGGTGTGACGTCACTTCGATCCAGCGCTGACTGCTCTGTCTCTCCGATCCAGCGGTGTCTGCAGGTGGCTGCACGCGTCCATAGACTTACCTTGCGTCTCTGCTCGTCTCCCGGCCGAGAATCGGAACTGCGCATGCGCCCGCCCCAAGATCCTTTGCGGCCGTACGATCACTTCCTGATTCTCGGCGCCAGATCGAGCAGCGATAACGAGGTAAGTTTAAAACCAGTTCAAGCGTTTTTTGTTTTTTTTTAAACTTCTTGCCTATATCTACTGCTTGCTAGCAGTAGATATAGGCAAAAAAAACGGAGGGTTTAGAACTCCTTTAAAGGGTTACTAAACCCTCATGTTTTCTTGTATATGTATATGTATATGTATGTATGTATGTATGTATGTATGTATGTGTATGTGTGTGTATGAAGATGATGGGATTAAGAGGCATCATTTAAGGTAAGTCCAGAGAGCAGAGGGGATGTGGGGGAGAGTGTGATCAGAGGTGTGATGTGGGAGCAGAGGGGAGGATCAGAGGGGTGATGTGGGGGAGAGTGGGAGCAGAAGGGTGATGTGGGAGCAGAGGGGATATGGGGGAGAGTGGGAGCAGAGAGGATGTGGGGGAGAGTGGAAGCAGAGGGGTGATGTGGGAGCACAGGGGATGTGGGGGAGAGTGAGAGCAGAAGGGTGATGTGGGAGCAGAGGGGTGATGTGGGAGCAGAGGGGATGTAAGGGAAAACAAAAATATCCTTTAATGTCACTTTAAATGTAATATACTGCAGCTTACCAGTCCTTAGAGGTGATGGCTGCATTATTGTTTTTTCAGGATAAGTATATTTTCTGTAAGTACAGAAAAATATCTGTTGATCTGCCAGAAATCCAATGTCCTTGTAAATTCCTGTGCACCTAACTGGAGTATCAAAATACTGTATCTTATCGTTTCCATGCTCCCTCATCACCAGGTGGCAAGGAAGCATGGAGCAGGCTTTCTGGCCAATCAGGGGGCCAGGGGGCGTGTGAAGACTTGCCGCCCAGCTTCCCGACCAATCAGGAAGCCGGGTGGCGAGTCATTACACGCTACCTGGCTTCCTGATTGGCCGGAAAGCTGGCTCCATGCTCCTTTGCTAACGAGGAAGCATGGAGCTGGCTTTTTGGCCAATCAGGAAGCCGGGGGACGGGTAATGACCCGCCCCCCCCCGGCTTTCTGATTGGCCCGGGAAGCCAGCCTCATGCTCCCTCATGACGAGGGAGCATGGAGCCGGCTTCCCAGCCAATCAGGAAGCCGTCCGGCGTGTAATGACTCGCTGCCTGGTTTCCTGATACTGGAAGTTCCGGTATCAGGATAAGTATTTGGAACATCTGGGCGAGTACGTGTAAAATACTCTGTATCAGCACCAATACCGATACAAGTAAGTTAATTCTGCTGGCAATTTGTTCTACACTCTTTCTGTACTTAGGATGAAGGAAAAATTGGCATTGCTGGTGCATTGTGGAAGGAGTACACAGTGGCAGTGGTGAGGTAACAAAGCAGCTTCAGGTGGTGAGTTGAAGGGTTAGTGGCTGCTTCTTAGGACTTATATTATTGGGTAGCTATAAATAGTAAAATCTCGCAATCTGAACCTGTGCTTTACCCATGCCGGGAATTTTCTGCTGCAATTCCACATACATATAGCACCTATAGGCAGGGCCGCATTAAGATAGGGGCTACTGGAGCACCAGCTCCAGGCCCACCACTGAAAATAAACTCAACTGTGGCCTGAACAGGCCTGGATTCTGGCAGTCTCTCCAGTATTTCACTTTGGCTGTTTTTCCTCCAGTGTCTGCTTTATCTGTCAGTGTGTGACTTTCAGCCTCTGTAGTAATATGTCAGTTATCAGCTCCCTGGCTGCCACCCAGAAGCGGAGATTCACAAGAGGGACGATTGTATGCAGACACAGCAGAGGGGTGATGAGGGGGGAGTGGGAGCAGAGGAGTAATTTGGGAGCAGAGGGGATGTGGGAGAGAGTGGGAGCAGAGAGGTGATGTGGGGGAGAGTAAGAGCAGAGGGTATGTGGGGGAGAGTGGGAACAGAGGGGTGATGTGAGAGCAAAGGGGATGTGGGGGAAAATGGGAACAGAGGGGTGATGTGGGAGCAGAGGGTATGTGGGGGAGAGTGGGAACAGAGGAGTGATGTGAGAGCAGAGGGGATGTGGGAGAGAGTGGGAACAGAGGAGTGATGTGAGAGCAGAGGGGATGTGGGAGAGAGTGGGATCAGAGGGGTGATGTGGTAGCAGAGTGGAGGTGGGGGAGAGTAGGAGCAGAGGGGATGTGGGGGAGAGTGGGAACAGGGATATGGGGAGATTTAGAACAGAGGGGTGATGTGGGAGCAGAGGGGATGTGGGGGAGGGTGGGAACAGAGGGTATGTGGGGAGAGTGGGAGCAGAGGGGTAATGTGGGAGCAGACGGGATGTGGGGGAGAGTAGGAGCAGAGAGGAAATGTGGGAGCAGAGGGGTGATGAAGGTCACAGGTGGTCTCCTCACTGGCAGATTGGGGGTGATAAGACGGGAATGGATTTAGCTAATCAAATAATGTGCTACAAACAGGCAGGTTGGGTTCAACCTAGTGTGCACATTCATCTGTGAGAATACCTCTGATACATTGGTGATCAGTGTGAATACCTCCGTTACATTGGTGGTCAGTGTACGGCCTCCCAACTAATTTTATTACACAGGATTTTTGCCACTTCAATCCATCAGCAGCCACAACAGATGTCGCGGGACTTATCTGGACTTATCAGGACACTTTTCGATATATTATATCTAAAATGTGCTTCCAGTGTAATTGGTCAATTCTACAACTGACGAATTTGCAAGCAAAAAAGCACGAAAAGTGAATGTGTAGTTCAATTTTAATCTTCCAGTTTGTCTCATTTAGGTAATTTGGGGTCAAAAAGCCAGTTTGTTTAAGATATCCAATGTTTTGTTAATGCACTTTATTGGTAATTAAAATGTTTTCATTTTACGTATTTCCATAAAAAGGCCCACCAAAATCCTCAGCACCAGGCCCTAGATGCTCCTAATCCAGCCCTGCCTCTAGGCCATTAGTGAGATAGTTTTACTTTTCAATCAGGGCACAGACACATCACCCAGTCTGTGCCATGTACCTGCACAATGATTTTCCTTATGCATATCTATAGGCAACCAACAGCTATAGGCTTTTAGTGAGACAGAGTTTTCCCTATCTATGAAACACAGACACACTTCCCCTTTCTATAGACAGATGTCAGCTAAAGACTATTAGTAAGATGGTGTGTTTAAGCATGGCACATACTTATATCACCCAGGTTGTGCCCTGCACCTGGCACAATGAGTTTTCTTCTACATTTCCATAGGCAGACATATAATCTACAGGCTATTAGTAAAATGGAGTGTTCTCTGTTTGAAGAGTACACATACACATATCCCAGACTGTGCCCTGTGCCTGCTCAATGAATTGTCTTATACGTGTCCACAAACAGCTGGTAGTTATGGGCCATTTCCCTTTCTTAGCACACCATCCAAGATGTGCCCTGTACCCGCACCTTGCACAATGATTTCTCATCTACATTTCCATAGACAACTGGCAGGGATCGTTTTCTCTCTTAGGGCACAGACACACTACATACTAATTTTTCTTCTGCATGTTTACAGACAGCTGTCAGTTGTAGAATATCAGTAAGATGCAGTGATCTCTTTTAGCAGGGCACAGACACACATCACCCAGGCTGTGCCCTATACCTGCACACATGCACTCTTTCACAATGACCTGGCTGTACACACACA